ATGGCCACGTGGACCGCCACGTCAGCAGCATGGCCAGTCTCCGCGCTCCGTGTGGCAGACACCTGGACATGCATCCACGCGGGAGGCCACACGGGTGACTCGCGTGTCAGCTGATCCAACGGCCCAAATTGCATCCCACACGCATGGATGATCCAGATCTATTTTCTCTTCAGTTACGATCAAACGATTAGATTTGATCAGATCGTGTGGTCCAGATTAATTTTTCAAATAAGAGTAATCTAACGGATGAGGATGGACCATGTCTCCTCGAATGGATGACCCAGATTTAATAAAAATGAGTATTTAAACTTCTCTTCACAAGAAACCCTAACCCTAACCGCCAGAGAGGAGATTAGAAAATAAGAAGAGAGGTGGCCAGAAAGTGAACCAGTCGCCGGAAAAGGAGATCAGCCACCGTCGCCGCCACACCGGAACCACCGCCGATGCTGAAAAGGTAAAAGTTTTTCCCCTTCCACTTAGAATTGAATTTCAAACCTTCCCCCACCCATATCGGAGCCAAAAGGCCTAGAGAGGAATGGTGGAGTCACCGCATCGAAAAATTACTTCACCGGTAGGGTCTCGGTTTTCCTCTTTTCCGACTGATAGAGGCTCCCTAACCTTGTTTTTTGTAGATTTCCATGCAAAACTGGCTAAAACTTGCTGAAAACGACCAAGCCGAGAGGAACTACCGCCGAAGGCGGAGGAGGCATGCCAGAAAAATTCAAAAATGCTCATTTTGGTCTTTTTGAGGTATTTCGAGATACGTTACGCGTATTTTTAATTTTCATAGAAAAAATCCAAGAAACTCGAGAACCGTCAGGAGGCACAGTGAAAAAGACGGTGTTTTGAACACCGATTCAGTGTAAGAATCTCTCACCCTTTTCTCATGTGACGGTAAATTAAAGTCTAATAACTAATAACGTTGTGTTTTATAAAAATTAAAAATTTCTAAATTGATTACAAGTCACCAGTTGAGCTAAAATCGGTCAGTGTATAATTACCTTAGCTGTGTCGTTTATGTTCTTCTGTACTGTCTAAATTATTATTATTTATTTATTTTAATTACCTTCCCGTTCATTGATTTCTTGACTAATTTTTCTCACCTATCGAATGATTCGAAACAAATGTCCTAATCATGTTTTCTTAATTTTTCGTATTTTTTATTTGCATGATTTACTGTTGATATGTAAATATAAAATAGTAGTATGTAATTGGTGATTGGTTGATGATATGGATATATGTATGAAAGGTTTATCTGGTACTCTGGGGAAAGCTGTACGGACCCGATGCATAAGAAAAATCATACTGTAGACATTATCTCAGTCGAACGAGATTGAGAAATCTCATACCATAAAGAGTTAGGAGGTATAGTTCACTCTCATACCGAATGGGGTATTGAGGCGATGGTATATTTGGCGCGCGCCTATTATCTGACGGGGTATGAGACGATCGATTAAATAATAAATTGGATATTGGGTCCACACATATAGGGGATTCTTGTGGACCCCCCAGAGGTACTAAAAAGTGGGTAAGAAGGCAAGTTACTGTTATTGTTCATTTAAATGTGAAATAAAATATTATCCTGGTTATTGTCTTCATAGGTCGGTTTTGGAAACTCATAAGTGTAAATATAAGAATAATAGTTTTTATGTTAAATGAATTTATTTAAAAAGAGATAATGGCTCTATTGGTTGTTTATGATTTTTACCAACATTTGATTTTCTGTATCGGTGCTAAGCGTGATATTCTTACTGGGTTAATGTAACTCATTCCCTTATTTAACCATTTTCAGATCAAGAAATCTAAGATCCAGATCCTGAACAGTAAGAAAAATGTTGCGAATAAAACTGCATCCTACATCCCATCAGAGTTGCTCAGCAAAGGTTAACTCCATAGGATCTTTAGTTACGATTTGTTTTATTTATTTATTCCGTTATTGAAAACTTCCTTAAAATGACATTTTTGTAATTCTATTGGGCATTCCGATTCATTGTATAAAGAATGTAAACTCTAAACTATTAATTACTTCCGCCTTTACAATTTATATTCATTTTCTTTAAGTTTTGAGTTTTTACACCGGTTTCTATGAGTTTTTTTAACTAATGAATTATTTATTTATGAATTGATTTCAGTCGATTTATATTTAAATTTTTTTAATGTCACATCAATTATCGCATGCATATGATGTAATATTTGAGTAATATCTAAACAAAGTAAAAGGTGTTATGTTTCAACAAATTTGATATGTGATGTTCAAAGTTAATATTATTAATTTATATTAAGATGATGGAGCAAATTGAAAACTTTTTTAAAAATATAGAGATTGGTTTAACTGAAAAATAAGGCATAATTAATTTAAACAAAAACAAATAATATAATGACTAAATTATTATTTTAGCTTGTTATATTAGGTTTAGACTATATAAAACAATTTTTTTTTTTCATAAAAATTATTTTAATTTTTGTAAGGAAATAAAATTTAATTTTAAAAATAACGTGGGATTAAACAACTTATAAAAAATGTATTCTTCCACTTGCATTTTAAATTTCATAGGACCTCAATTCCATTCTCTTATGATATATATTTTTTCTTCTTTTTTTAGTGCATTACTGAATCACTGCATTTTTAATAATAATAAAAAAGTTGCAAAATTTATTTAAAGAAAATTTACACTTAGTTCACCCATTAATATACTAAAAAAAATAAATAAAATTGTTACAAATAAATTAACTATTTTATCTAAAAATATATTATAAATTATTTAATAACTACTCAATTTTGTAAGCACAAATTTTTCGATGAGACCACAGTTCTCACTTCTAAATTACAATTTAGCTCTTATTTAGCATAATATATAATATGTTATATTAAAAAAAATTGATAAACGCAAAAAAAAAATAAATAAATAAAAAAAGTTTATGTATGTAGATGAATTTGATGGGAAAACAACAATTGATTTATTAATTTCAAAGTCTGTTCCACATTAAATCCGTGTTGTTGCGTGCCCCCACCGGGACATAAATATTTTTATGTCCTCCTATTTACAAACCCCTAAATCATACCGCCAAGTGTGTCCAAATCCCAAATTTAATCCATCCTCTTAATTATCCTCAACCCTATTTTGTAGCTTTTCAGTGCCTTCAAAAATTGAATACTCTTAGATTATGTGATATAAATTAATTACGTGTGAAACTTTATGTGAAATTAAATCGATATATTGTACCAAATTTATTATTTCAATTCCATATGGAATTTCATGTTATATGATTTTATAATTTAACGTTCACTTTGTTGTTTTTGTATGTTGGTAAACAGCTTTATGAAACGACACATGACTTGTCTTTCCGGACACACAGCTTTCGTGTTTGACGCCGACCCAAAGAAATTAAAAGATATGTGTGATGTCTAGTTTGATTTTGTAATAAAATTGGAAGCCAATGGATAAGATCTATAATCCATTCATATATATATATAAATAGTGACAAATATAAAAATAAAATATAGACTCCAGTATGGATACCGTGAAATAAATAAAAAATATTATAAAATTGTCAATACATAAAATAAAAAAAAAAGAACTAATAATAATAATAGTAATTTTTACGTGATTATAAAAATATATTTAACAGTAATATATAATTTAAACTACAAATACGGTTTTAATTGATAGTAGATTTTTCAGTAGCGGCTAATTAAAGTCTCACCAACATATATTAAGTTTGTTTAAACGATATGATTTTGTTCTTAAAAAAAAAAAAAAAAAAGAGACAGTAGAATAATTGTCTGACGCCAACTTGCCGATGATAAATAAACCTTTCTTTTGAGCCAGCGATAATGATGCTTCTATCCCAGGCAATAAATTAATTATGAAAAAAAAAAAAAACAAATTTCTATTATTATAATCTAAAAATTAAACAAAACATAATATACGTAAATCAAATACAACCGGTGATGTTTTTGTAAAATTAAAAATTTGTACAATAATAATGGGTAACAACTAAATTTTGGTTAAACCAATTAATTTAATGATTGTTATGTATTTTTCTTGACCGTAACAAGAATTCCAATTGTTTAGATTTTCAAGTTTCCAAATTAATATGGCCAAACAAATTGCACATGCAACTCGACTTAACACACACGCATTCAACTGGTCTTTTCTTTTTGGGCTGGTTAATTAATTGTGCCACTGAAGGTAGATGGATAAGAAAAATCCACAAGGAACAACCAGTAGCTAACCAAACAGGCTCCACCATTGACTTAATTATAACCCCATCCTTATTCAACTATAATTTCGGCTAACATTAATTAATCCATAAATAAACCTTCTATGTGCCATTAACTAACTAATTAATCCATGTCTCGTTACATGGTAATTAATTAAATGCACGGATATTTAGAGGATGAATAATTTCTCTTATAATACATATTATATAGTCAGGCGGTAGATGCACTTGAACGTTGGATTTTGGTGAACATATTAATTGCGAATTCAAACACTGTTTTCCGTCATCACATGGGCACTCATTACTGACGCTTTAAAGTTGGTTGGAAAAAGAAAAGAAAAAAAAACTTTATAATTCAACTCTTCAATTACTAAATTGGTTGATATTGGAATATCTCTGCTTGCCAATTTTAATTTCAGAAGATTCTTGTATTATGTTAAATAACATTAATATTATTGTTAAATCTATCATTAGTAATTATTTTTTATTTTATAAATTTTAATGGTATTTTATGTATACAAAAATATTTTTATTTTTATTTTTTATTTATATATTATTCATTTGATCAATAAACCTCTCCACTTTTAATTAATAATATTTTGTTTTAACTCGAATAAATTTCATTTACATTTTTCCTTAAAAAATATTTACAACATTTAATTATTTAAGTTATAGAAATGAGTACATAAATTTATTAAAAAAATATGCACAAATTTTTTTACTTCAAATTTCCCTCAAACATCAATTTAATAAACATAGAGACTTTGGATTTCGGGCTTCAGCGGATTAAAAGAAACAGAGAAAGGGCTTATGATGGTTTTTTTCCTCCGAAGCCCAAACTACTTCGCCAACCTTCCCTCTCCCCCCGCAATCAAAACTCTGCACTCGGCGACTATCGCGCCCGACGGTGAAAAATGGAGCGCAGCTCGGATTTCGCAGAGCCCGTTATCGATATCCTAAGGAGCAGAGGTTGGTGTTTCCCGGAGGAGGAGCAAGTTAGAATTCTGATCACGATAAGCTCCGCTTTGGTTGACGATGGAGACACATATAGGATCGCTGATTCAGTGGAGGCGGAGCTACTGAACATGGACATTAGATCAATCGGAGCCAAATCCCTGCCCGACCCGACCCAACTAAAAAAGTCTTCTCGGCTTCAAGGCCCCAGAGTCCTCCAGGCAACTCTCTTTTCCCCTCTCCTAGGTTTTGTTTGGCT